ATTAAATAAACTAATAGTTATGTAATATTGTCTTTGTCGAGTCGTGTCGTGTTTTCATGTTTTAATTGGTTCGTTTTCGTGTTAGTGAAAAAAAAAACACAACATCGTGTCGTGTCGTGTTCGTGTTACACAAAACATTGTCGTGTCGTGTCGTGTTAGAGAAAAACACAACACGACTGCCCGATTTGACAGCTCTATCTAATATCACTGCAACGAAAGATGGTCGGAGTTTTTGCGATAGAAAATTCATATGGTGAATTTTTTTTTTTTTTTTTTTTTGTTTTTTGTTTTTTTTTTCGTAAGTTTTGCTTATCTTCTTGTATTTTTTGCTTTTCCTCTCACGTTTTTTCTTTGTTGGTCAATTTTTTTTTTCAAATTACAAACAAGCTTTGAAATTCAAATATATAATTCAAAACTATTTGTAATCTTGAGTATGTCATCATCTTTTTCGGCTCCCAATGCATATTACGAATACGTATTGTTTTTTTGCCTTATCTATAACAATCGAAAAGACTATCCTCGAGTGTAAAAATAATAAATGTTTGTTTATTCATCATATAAAATAGGTAGTGCAGATTTAAATCTCTAAGATGTATTAATTTTTACAAACTAGACATATATTTGTAAATATATTTTATGATAGGAACATACATTGTTGCTCAATTAATTTCATGTGGAGGATATCAACGATCTAAAGATTGTGCCCGATATTTTCCTTCCATCTGTTAACCATCAGATCATATGCAATTTTTTTAGCCATAAACTGATAAACTCTATTTCCCCATGATACGATTCTCATTAGATAGGAGTATAAGTACAGGATACAAACAATGCCATAAAAGTCGAATTCAATACATATGAGCCTATCAATACATGGGCTAACTAAAAGAGAATACAAATAATATACATAAATACATATCTGCTAATATCCACCCGCAGTTTTATTGGGAGGAGAAGTTTGAACGTTCAAACTGGCCTTGAAGTCGTTGAAGAGCTGTGTCAGGAGGCCTTTAGTGAAGATGTTGGCATATTGAGCAGAAAAAGGGCATGTGAAAAACTCGAACGTCGCCCCTGGCGACTAGATCACTAACAAAATGGATGTTAATCTTTATGTGCTTCGTATGCTGGTGCTGAACTAAGTTCAAAGTCATGTAAACAGAGTTGATGTTGTCACAATAGACAATGGCTTTGTTAGGCGGACACTGAAGCTCACAGAGTAAATTACGAACCCAACACGTCTCTGTGACGATGTTAGCAACGCTGCGATACTTCGCCTCTACAATGACTGTGAGATGACCCGCTGTCGCTTAGACGACAATGAGATAAGATTATCGTCAAGAAACACAAAATACCTAGTAGCCGAACGGCGAGAGACTGAACACCCGCCCCAATCAGCGTTAGAGTACGCACGAACATCCGACGTGGAAGACACATGAAGCTGAAAAACCGTGGTATGGGGTCCCTCAAATGTAACGTAACAACGCTTAAGATCGTGTAGGTGAGGCTCACGTGGGTCATGCATAAATAAACATATCCATTGAACCGCAAAAGCAATGTCAGGACGATTAAAGGTGAGGTACTGAAGAGCTCCGACGAGACTGCGATATATAGGGATGGATCAACAATTGGTGGACCAATGACATCCAGCTTATGAGAGGTTTCAGCTAGTGTGCGAGCTGGATTACAATGAAGCATGTGAGCTCGCTCAAGGATCTTACAAGCGTATTTTCTTTGGGAGAGAAAAAGACCATGTGGAGAGTGGGTAGTAGAGATCCCAAGAAAATAGTTGAGAGCCCCAAGATCAGACATGGAAAACTCTTGATTGAGCTGAGCAATAATAGATTGAAGTAGAGTCGTAGAGGAGGTAATCAACACAATGTCATCAACATAAAGCAACAAGTATGCAATGTCAGATCAATGATGGTAAATAAACAATGACGAGGCAGTGAGACTGTGATGAAACCCCATGTTTAGAGCATGCTGAGAAAACCATTGATACCAGGAACTTGGGGCATGTTTAAGTCCGTATAGAGATCGTTGAAGATGGAAAACATAATTTGGGTGCCATGAGTCACGAAAACCTGGTGGCTGGTGCATGTAGACAGGCTCCTGGAGATATCCATGAAGAAACTCATTCTTCACATCAAGTTGATGAATAGGCCAATGTATGGAGATAGCCAAACTGAGGGCAAAGCGTATGGTTGTCAGTTTAACAACCGGACTAAATGTCTCATCACAGTCGATCCCCTGCTGCCGACTGCGTCTATTTGCCACTAACCAGGCTTTGTATCGAGTGAGGGAGAGAGATCCATCATCATTAAATTTCTTTTTGAACAGCCACATGGAGCGAACCACATTTTTTCCTGGAGGGCGTGGAACAAGAACCCTAGTACCATTTGTAATAAGAGCATTATATTCCTCCTTCATGGATTTCTTCAAGTTTGGATCTTTCAAAGCTTGTACGTATAACCTCGGGACAGAGGAGATGGAAGAATAGTGGACATTTATATGCTCCACCGGTTTGACAATGACACTTTTAGAGCGAGTGTGCATGTGATGGGTAGGTGGAGGAGGGGGTCGGAAAGAGAGGAAGGAGGGGACGAAGGAAAATCCTCATGAGGAGGAGCCTCAAGATAAGGGGAAGGAGGATCAACCTCAAAGACGGGAGGATGAATGGTAGGGGAAGCGGAAAGGATGGGAGAAAGGATGTGTCTTAGGGTTAGAGAGATGTCAGAGTCAAAGAGAAAGTCATAGGAAGGAGGTTCGATAGGTGTGACTGAGCTGAAAGGGAAGACGGACTAGTCAAAAGTTACATGCCGAGAGATGTACGCCGAGCTGAAAGGAAAAACGGACTCGTCAAAAGTTACATGCCAGGCATTCTATGATGGACGTCGGGCGTTTGCACGCAGAGGCCAAACCCTAATCTTTAGGGTTTTAACCCTATTTAGAGAACATTATGGCCTCTAAACCCTTCACCACTCCAGCCTCCATCCTCATTTGGAAAACCGTAAGTGTGTATGAGAGTTTGAAGCCTTGTGCATTTTTTTGGTATCAATTTAGTGTTCTTGATAGAGAAGGAAGATCATTGGAGTGTTGGTGTTGCTCTCAAGCTTGTGGATCTAAACTCTTGGCACCTTGGAGCATCATTTTTTGTTATAAAGTTCTGAACTTGATCACCATATCGCTAGATATTGTTTATGTTAGTAGTTTATGCTTATTAGCCCCCATTTTCTTGGTCTTTTTGGGTAAGAGATACCTTATACCAAAGGAGTTGTCCTTTTGGACGTTTTAGGGTAGATTAGGTGATAAAAATGTGATCTTGGACCTTCCTTTCACTCCATGCAAGTTTTGAAGTGTATTAATGGGTTAAGGAGTTGGAGTTTTAGGTTTTGGGCTCATTGTAACCATGAATGGCCATAAAGTTTGCAACTTTATGGCTTTAGACGTTCCATTATGGCTGGACCTGAAGTTTGGATTTGATATTTTAAGCCATTAAGTCATTGGTTTGGAAGTTAATTAGTGAACATCGAGTAAACGCCAGGCGTTTGCATGTGAACACTCGGCATTCGGACGCCAGGCGTCGTAGGGAGGAATGTCAGGCGTTCTGTGCAGAAGGCCATTGGGTCCATTTTGGGCCTTGGGCCATTAGAGGTTTTAGGCTTTGGACTAGCATGTTGGGGTTCCCTGGATTTTAGGCCCATGATGGGTTCGGGCCCAATTTGGAAGATTGGGCCACATATATATTGGGATTTAGGATTTGGGCCTTTGTATGGTTGAGTTGGGCCTTGGTTTTAGGCCAAGTTAGATAAAGGGTAAAATTGGTCGTTTACCCTAGCTAAGACTTATATATATGGTTTGGAATCCAATTATTAATTGGATGTGTTTTATGATGACAGCGCGGGGATTTTCCGGACCAGCAGAGAAAGATTTATCTGAGTGATTCAGCAGTTAGAGGTGAGTTTCCTCACTGGGTTTAGCCGGTCGAAGGCACCAATGTCGGCCCATGATTTATTATGTTAGGATGCTAGTTCTCTTTGTGACTCTTGCATGTGTTATGTGTTGGTATGCTTATCGGGCAAGGCCCGATGCCGAGCAGGGCCCGATGACTGTACTCTATGCTATTTTCTTTGTGATTATCGCATGTGTTTGTATGATTATATGTTTATATGTATACCGGGCGGGGCCTGATGCTAGGTGGGGCCTGATGACTGACATATCTGTATACCGAGCGGGGCTCTATGCCGGGCGGGGCCTGATGTCGGGCGGGGTCTGATGATGGGCGGGGCCCATTATATGTTTATTATGTATGGTATGTGGTATTTTGAGGAACTCCCTAAGCTTTGTGCTTACAGTTTTCAGTTTATGTTTCAGGTACTTCTGGTTCGAAAGGCAAGAGCCCAGGATGATTGCAGCGCACACACCACCGTATTCTGCATTTTGTGATTTACTCTGATATTCTATGATGTATTGATACACTTTGATCCATATTGATTTTATGATGATGTTTTGGATTACCGTTTTATCAATTTAAAAATGAAAATTTTTTGGGTCTTATTTTTGGGACGTTACACCTTGACTTGAAATCTTCCTCAAGATCACTAGGATTGAAGAAATTTGATTCAGTTTCAACCTGTTTATAGATTTCTATAGCTTCATCTATGTTTCCACCAAGAATCTTTTCACACTGATCTGGAATTTGGGCTTATATTATCTTATTTAACTTAAAGTGAGAGTGAACCCAATTGTTTTAATGCATTGTAATTTATTTGCATGCAATTCAACGTTATCATTTTTAGAGTGAAGGTCAATATTGGTAAGGGACAGATTAGTTACCTTGATGTTTACTTGAGCAAGAGTTTCCTTAGTTTCACTCAATCTATTTGTCAGAGACTCAATTTTTTTTATGAAAGGGCGTTTTTCTTGGTTAACATTAGACTATTTAAGACACAATTAATCAAACATCATCCATTTTTCATTGTGAGAATAGTTGGAAAATTTACTTAGGTGATACATAGATGACGAGTCCCAACCCTCATCTTTGATTCTTTAGCAGCTTTAGCTATGTTGGCTTTAAAGGAGCTCAATTCATTGCTTCCTTCATCATTTATTGTTGCATCAGTGTGTGCCATCAAACACTTATCCTTAACTTTATCTTCATCAGATGATTCTTCATCATCCACCCAATTCTCCACTTTAGCAACAAAGATTTTCACATCAATATTCCACCTCTTCAGAAAGGCCAATAACTTTTTGTACTTCACTTCTAAATCTTTACTTGTGTCCACCCTTTTTAACTTGCATTTCCTGGCAAAGTGATGAGCACCTCCGCAATTGAAACACTTTGGACCCTCTTTTTCATATTTTTTACTAGAGTCAAAATCTTTAGATGCTGATGAGTCAGACATCGACTTAAACTTTCTAGGTCTATATGGTTTCTTCTCACTTCGGCTAATGTTGCGTTTGACAATTACAGCTTCACCTTCAGATTCATCAAAGAAGTCAGTGTCGCTATTTGGAGATGAAATTTGAATAGAGAGCCACAGATTTGTCCTTGTGAGTGTCTTGCATGATTTCCTTGTGCAAGATCTTTTTTCTTCATGATTACAAAGATTGTCAAATAATAAAGACAAATACATGGTTTTAATTTTCTCACTGTTTTCAGAACATCGACGTGATGTTCCCAGCTATCATTCAGTGAGTCAAGAAACTTGAGAACCAAGGAGTTTCTATTTTTATGCATGTTAAGACGAGACATATCATTCACCAAGCAGTTGAAACGATTGAAGATGTCAGTGGGAGATTCATTTTTCTGTTGAAAGAAATGCTCATAACGACGATTTAAGTTGTTCTTGTTGATAACCTTAACTTCGTCAGTTCCTTCATATGCAACCATCAACATATTCATCATCTCCTTGGTTGGAAGACAGTTTTGAACAAAGTGTTAGATATCGTATGGAATATCGTTTCCTATAGCAACACGATCCTTCACATCAAGAACAACCAGACGCTTATCTTCATCTTCAAATTCATGAACTGGTTATTCTATTGGGTCACCATCTTTGACGTTTTCCTTCATGGGATGGTGTATAGGAACATGAGGACCGTCATTGATAATGCTCAACATGGAATAGTCCATGGTTTCGAGAACCATCATGGCTTTTGACTTCCACATGGCGAATTTCTTCTCATTAAACTGTGGGATTTTATGGTTAGAAGTAGTTTTAGAGAGATTTGATGAAGAGGAAGAAGACATTGTTAATCGATCAAAGTAACCCACTCTGATACCAGGTGTAGGTTCCCTTGATCGTGGTCGATTAACAGAAAAGATAGCTAAATGAATAAGAAGATATATCACATAGATTTTTCACTAAGAAAATGTTCTCACCAAGAGAACAAGCACAAAGCTCTTAGGGTTCGATAATCAACTAATGATACGAACCCTAATACATAGTTTTATAGTAAAGCAATATTGTGAGAATCCCCACATACCATGGATCTCACCTAGTCTACATAAATTATAAAATATCTGATATCCTTAAGATAATGGATCTGCTAATTAACTATGCGTATAACCCTAAATACAAGATGATACAATAACACGCCGGTGATACTTTGTAGAACAGATATTTACGTTGGCGTTGGTGAGATGTTGGTGCTGATTGAAGTCAGTGTGTCTTGGTTTTGTCTCATAATATTGTAAAGTTGGACCTTACAGATAGTGAAGGGTATCATTAGAGATGGAAGCTAAGGGCAAAAGATTAAGTAAATGGGTTGCCATGTAAAGGGCTTCGGGCAAAAAACGTAGGAGGGAGATGGGAATAAGAAAGGATAGTTCGAATCATATTATTAATAGTGTGGATCATTCATTCTGATCGACCGTTTTTTGAGAGGTGTAGGGATAATAGAAATCAAAGTGATCTCGTATGAGGCAAAGTGATTATGGAATTGTTTGTTGTTGTATTCCCCCTTATCACATTACATTTGTTTGATGTGGCCCCCAAATTGATTTCTTATGGTGTTGGAAAAATGTGATAATTTAGCAAAAGCATCGGATCTTAGTTGTATAGGATACACCCACAAATAATGAGTAAAATGATCTAGAAACAAGATATAATATCGAAAGCTGTCATTACTAGAAATAGGTAATGTCCACAAGTTAGAATGAATAATCTCAAAAGGTGCAGAAACATGCGAATCATACAAATAAAATGGTAATCTAGTGTGTTTGCCTAGATGACATGCATGGAAACTAACATTATTTTTAGAAAAATGACAATAAATAGAACTATTAGAAGATAAATGCTTTAAGAGTTGATCACCAGGATGATCAAGTCGTTGATGCTAAATGCTAGGAGAAGTAGAAACAAAAGCATAAATTGTGGATCTTGTGACTGGATAAAGGGGCCCATAGCTTTCACAACGGATGAGAGGTCGCTGTGTCTGATAATCAAGAATGGTAAAACTGTAAGGATCAAAATTAGTGGAACAACTATTAATAGTAGTGAATTTGCGAACACATATAATTTTTTTGATAATATTGGGAGTAATGACAATATTTTTTAAGTGAATGGTACGACAGATATTATGAATAAGGAATGTGGAATGTCTTTATGTCACAATAGGTATTACAGATCCGTTACCAACATAAATAGACCGAGGAAATGAGTATTACAAGTGGAATTTAGTATACCAGCATTGGTGTGGACATGATCTGTCGCCCCGGTGTCCATGACCCAACCGTCATTTCTCAGGTCATTTAGGGACATTGTGTTGAACATACTTGGGAGAGAAGTGGGCTGATCGGAACCAAGAAAATTCCATAGGGGTTGATCCGAACAAGAGCTATGCAGGTGGGCTTGCGGACCAGAAAAACTTTGTTGATGAGTCGAACCAGAACCAGAGCCTGCTATCTATAATTCTTGTTGTGTTTGTGGCAGATCTAGCCCACGGGGGTTGATGGTGTTGGGTCGGATAAGAGGGGGGAGCCCACTGCTGTTGGACCGAAGGTGGAGTAGCCCATTACTTTACTGTTGATTGGATCCCAGTAGAGGGTAAAAAGGCCACCCGACATGAGGTTGTTGACGTGGGTTGTGGAACTGTTGGCGGCGTTGCTGCTACGGGTTGTTATTACCTCCACCCGACGAGTGTTTAAGTTGCCACGTGAAGATCCTCCAGAACCTCCACGGTTTGAATTTTTGGACCCGACGTGGAGGAGGGATGGAGAAGATGCATGATTTTCTTGAGAGGGGCTGATGATGCGGAGGCTGTTGAGCCGAGTTTCCTCCACCGAAAGCATAACACATATTTCAAAAAATTTCGGAAAGGTGTTATAAAATCGAATGATATCCACAACGCTTTCATACTTGCTGGGAAGACCATTAAGAGCATGAAGAACCACAAATTTGTCCTTAACCTTTTCACATAGTGCCTCTAATAGATCAACAATTTTTTTGATTTTTTAACAGTAATCTTAAATAGAAAGGTCCCCCAAGGTAACGTGTCTCAGTTCATCCTTGAGTTGCATAACGGTTGACTCGATATTTTCATATAATAAAGAGTGTAAGTTCTGCCAAATCTTGCGAGCAGATGCATTGAATGAGTGAGTAGAGGTAATCAATTTATGAGAGATCGGCCCAAAAAGCTATAGCTTCACCACTGAATCCAGTTCCTGTCATTTCGAGTTATCAGGTGGTTTATTAGGTGGGTCGTAGGAGTCATCTATGTGATCGAAAACTCCATAGGCAATGCAATGTGCCTTGAAAAGATCGCTACAAGGCTCATAGTTGCGGGTTGTGAGGTCTAAGATAAGGGGTACATAAGTTTTAATGTTGGTGATACTGAATGCCCGGTGAGTAAGTATTAGATTACATCTTTCACCGCCATACATGATGATTGTGAAGGAGACCAACGACAGAAGGGAGAAGGAGAAGATAAGATGAGGTGGAGAGGTGAGGAAGAATCGCCGACTGATGAGAAAGTCGACAAACAGGAAGGATCGGATCAGACTTATTCCCCAAGACAGTCTGATACCATGCTAAACTCTATTTTCCCATAATACGATTCACATTAGTATGAGTATAAATACAAGGTACAAACAAGGCTATAAAATCCGAATACAATACATGGGCTAACTAAAAGACAATACAAATAATATACATAAATACATATATGCTAACACAAACCTAATTGATGTTTTTAAAGTTAAAATCAAAATATCTAATATGTGTTATCTATATTGAATATATTTATCATTTGAAAAAGAATATTATCAGTAATTTATTTAAAGTTAAAATCAAAATATCTAATACGTGTTATCTATTAAATATATTTATAATTTGAAAAATAATATTAATAGTTATTTAAAGTTAAAATCAAAATATCTATTTCTTACAATGAATTATTTAATCTTTAATTAGATATTAATTTTATGAAAAGTTATAATCATAATCCAACTTATATCCAGTTTTGCATGGCTTCAAATTGAATCACTGTACTAAGATATTCAAATAATTAAATAATATAACCTTCAATAAAATATATAAGCTTTTCATGAGTATGAAAAAAGTGCTATATAAATATTGAAGATAAGACAGTATGGATGAGATATTTTAAGCACAAGATGCCACCAAGAAAATTTTCAGTTCTTGTTGTCACCGGTGGAAAAAACTATTAATTATCCTTTTAGTGATATTATATTAGCAAAACGAAATTATTAGTCTTATATACATCATGCGTGCTCTCATATATGTACGACTGTACATAATATATAGGAAATTATTAATCAGTGTTACGAGTTTTCACATGCCAAATTAATTTATCTCAAGATTTAAAGTAATATAATATTATTATATTTCACTGACGATTTTGGCATGGAGCTTTGGAGCTTTTGAAAGCTTTTTAAGAAAAAAAAAATTGTTTGAGAGGCAAGAGATTTTAAATAAAAAGTTTTGAATCTTGATATTTCTTAGTTAATGATAATAAAGATAATAATCAAAACAATTCGGCTAAATAATTAAAAAAGATGTGAGCCAAGATTAACACAAGGAAACTTAGGCTCGTGTTTAACATGATTCTTCTAAACAGATTCGTTGTCTGTGCTCAGGATACAACATATGCACTGTCGGAGTTTGAAGAAAGCTCAGATCTAGTGATTTGGTGGAGTAAAGAGTGTATGCAAGAACTCTCCTTACTCCATGCATGAAGAAAGTGGGATTTTGGGCATTTCTTAGCTTAGGGTTTTAGATCTTGGAAGTTTTTGACATTATTATGGATAAAGTTGGAAACTTTATCCATCTAACCATCATGTTGATTCAAATATGAAGGTTGGAAACTTAGACATAATGGATTGAGTTGAGAAAGATGCATTTTTGGACCCTTTGAGACTTAAAGTTTAGATATTGGTTGT